CCAAATATGGGTGAAATCGGTTCACAACCACGCCTGAAATCTCGATTATCACTTTATCATGCGAGAGTATAAAATGTTCGGTGACACCCGAGCTTAGCACTTCCTTACTTGTTTCTCTTTATTTTATGAGCTACCGAATTCTAGGAGAGCTTATAAAGTGTTTGAAATTAAATTTTATATTTTCAAAAGCAGAGGAAGTCAGATCCACTGTTATGTTTGCACTCGTGCATTTTCTCGCTCTCTGTTGAAAATTGAAAAGCTTCGTTACCACATTTCTCTCGTTCTCATTTTCTATTATTCAAACTTTTAAAAGCTCTACGACAAATGATTCATTGCACGCGACCAGCAATGGTCGGCGATTCTTCGCATAAAAAAGAAAGCAATCAAGCAGAACTCAAGCTGAGTTGCGTCGTGCCAAACTACCTGTTACAGTGACAAATTAGTTACATATATATGTATGTATGTGAGTGTGAATATGTAATTCTGGTGTACTTTTCCTACCTTTTCACTGTTTTTGCCTTGTAACAGGTTGCCATTGTCCTTCGTCTAGCTCTGTTCTTTCTTCCGCCCGAATAAGTAAATAGCTTTAGCGGCGACACTTTTCGATATTCCGCAGTTGAATTACATACTTACATATGTGTGCTTGTATGTGCACTAAGTAGCTTCGACCACCTGGCCAATTCGTTATGTGGCAACAAAATAGGTTGACATTGAACGTTTACGATTTTTAGATTTGCGCGGAAGGTAGTATAACCTCGCTATAAGCCAGAGAAGGTTCTCAGTATGTATATATGTACCTTAGGGCGGGGCGATTTACAAGGTGCCAAAAAACAAAAATACCGTGTTAAGGGAATTGTTCTACCGATCAGAAGAACTGTCTTTGTTAGTACTCTATGGGTCTAAAATCAGTTTCGAACAAGGCAAAGTTTTTAGGGATTATCAAAATTTGTTCGTCAGTGTTTTAAATATCCAATTCAAATTTAACACGTAGGTGCATTTTTATATTCTATTGACCATGAATCGGCAACATCGGACAACTATATAATATATTTCCTTACAGATATTTTAAGCTTCACCTTAAAAATTTATGATACGAAACCGGCTTGATATCTATAGTATCTTAAGCAAAGTTGTTTAGAGTGATCCGTGGAACATTTCCCACTTACGTGATTTTATAGTAAAATGGTCGACGCACTCTAGTACACATGCATATGTAAATTTTGTATGTAGTAAAGTACAAATAAACATACCCCTTTATGAACAAAATGTTTGTGGCGGAGCCTTGGGGATTCATTTACTTGAAGTATACGCTGACAATATTGGCGGCTGGGGGACCTTGAATTTTTCAAATTCGTGTTTGAGCGCAACATTTCAGTTGGCAACATGTGTTGTTGCTGTTTTAGCGCCGCACTTGCTCGTAATGTTATATTACTGTAGTTTGCCGTTAATCTATGGAGTTTTTGGCATCGAATTGTTTGTTTCACAATTTACACTTTATCTTTAAAAAAGCGAACGCGAAAGGAAGCGAAATTCCCATCAAATAAATTATGCTGTGTTGACAGGATATCAAAACAATGTCATGCATTCCGCAGTTTTTGTTATTCATTCACAGTGCCACCTACAACGGATTGGGTGGCATTTTCCCCGAAGAGAGAAGTTTCATTCACCCAACGTTGAAACGAAGAAGAGATATATAGGGGTAACAATAATATCAGTATTAGAAAGAATCAATAAAATAATTGATTTTTGGATGCCAATTGGTCCACTATATCTTTTTCTATAGTTTTTGTGAAATTGTTTTATGATTTGGCATATACTTTGTACTACCGCGGAACAAGGGTTCGTGTCATAAGCCCTTAACTCTTTGGCATTCAAGCTAAAACATTAATTTTTTGTCTATGAGGAAATGGCAATACAAGCGAAGAGAATGGGCTGCCTTGGAAATATCGAATCTGAATTTCGTCTTAACATTGTCAATGGTTCTATAAACAATAACTTTAAAAATGCGATTATTTTCTAACAACTAACTAAAAATTTAAACTGCTACTTGATGTGACTTTAACCAAATAAACTCGATTGGATTTTTAAAAGTTCCATATTACTCTTAATATTTGGCCATTAGCATCGACATTGTGCGAGATATTTCGATATCATAAGCATTTATATACAAATCCTTTTCTGCTAGAACTAACAAAAAAGTAACTAGATAAGATTATATTAAGCCAGAAGGATCAGTGATTGAAAATGCTTTAGAAATAAACCTAATTGGTAAACAAGAGCAGGAAGAAGAACAACGAAACTAAGATTCGAACTCGTATCCTTAGCGTGGGAAAGATTTAAAAAATGTGTACGATTGCACAGTATATGGAGTCAGCGGCCAAAGATACTTTCACTCACTAAATTAAAGTGAAAATTTTGTCAAAGATTTTTAAAATCTCAAACACCCGTTTACCACTCCGCCACACCCCGATATTGACGAATTATAATTAATTATATTATATTAAAAAAGTTGATAAACGAAAAAAGGAATTTTTGGAATATTATTTAATTAAATCAAAAACTGATTATAACAAAATTTATTTACTTTTGCATAATAGTTTTCTTTGACTGGTGACTAAAGGATCTAAAGTCAAAAGTAATGGGTTTAGCAAGTCCTGATTTGTAGCGACCCGTTAGTTTATTTAATAAGAAAAAAGACTACGCGTTAAGGTCTACGGAAGTTAGAACTAACTCGCATGAAGATAAGAGCTGCAAACTTAAATTGGCTTTTAAATAAACACTCTAAACTTAGCCTAGACAACAAAGTTATTTTATACAATACGGCCATAAGCCGATTTGGATGTATGGTATTCAACTGTCGGGTACGACCTGCAAAGCTAATATTGATATAAAACAAAGGTATCTAAACTCTGAGATCACCAAAACCTTGGCTAATGCTTTAGTACATTTCTGCGATCAAACACGCCCAAAAAGAAGTGATATGCAGGCTTGATCAAACAACTCAGTCACTTGCTTGAGATTGTCTAGTTAATAAATAAATTTATAATTTTACAACTTATTGTTGGGCCCAAAAAAAGGAGATACAATAAATAATGAAATAATGAAAAAAATGAAAAAGTGGGCAGGGTCCCGCTCGCTAATAAGTTTAATGTATACATCTCCTAAACCAATAAACTACAATAACCAAATTCGTCCAGTGCTAATATTATGCGGTTCTGATAAAAACTATAAAATGTGCGATAAATTAATAACTAAATACACCATAGACATGTACCCAGTGCTTATAGTTGACTTTATACCGAAAATGTCCGTCAATGTGTGAGATAGGCAATTGAAATTCAGAGAGAATCCTTAAAATAGTATGTCTGTGTGCTCAAAAAGCTTGAATTGAGTCAATACTTCCTTCCTTGATATCGACCGACATGTGAATTATCGTAATTAACTTGAGAGAGGGGTGAATCCGGTGAAAAATCGCCCTAGACATCGTAAACCTAACAAACCTTATGTACCAAAAAATACTTTAAATTCTAGTAAATTTATCATCCGATTTATGGAAATATCTGATAGATGTTGATAGATGAAATGTCTTTGTATTACACTGTGGATACTAGGAGGCTCGGTGTATTTATTCCTCAAAATGCAAAATTGACTCACGTAGCTAACAGAAATAAATTTTGCATTCAATATTTATAAAAGTTGAAAAGTGCCTTTGTTTGTTAAATTAACTGTGAAATATTTAAAAACTGAGCACTTATCATATATTTGTTTACTCAAACAAAAAATTGGCGACATGCGTAAGTATTACGTTAGCCTAATACGGACAAATGCCACAGATTGCATTATGTCAAAATCATCATATTCAATGGCGGTAAATTTTAACTGTACAATTTCAATAGCCTGTTTCCAATTGGATTTACGGACATTTTTTCATTTTTTTGGAGTTGCCATGAATTTCTACAAAAACGGTATTTGATAATTTTTATACTTTTTCTAAAAATTGGCTAATTATTCAAACTGAGAGATTAATATAGAAAATAATATAGATTAAACTTATTGCTGATAATTCTGTACTTTTTGGTTTGATATTTAAAGAAATCCGATTTAATCATTACCATCGCTACTCTGACACTCTAGCAATGTTGTCCAATGCACAAATGTTGTTCTCTGATTTCCACATACTCGTACATACCGAAATGACTGCATAATATTTTGTGATTGCATTTCCTCCACAAATGTTTACCATTGTCAATAAATAGTGTCGCTTTTAAATTGTTAATCGATATTTCAGTTCATGGTCGAAGTCAGTCTGAAGTCAAGTTCTTTGCTGCTTGCTGTGTACACCTCCCGTCGACTGGAACCGCTGTCCGTTGCACGTCGTTTCATGGTCTGTCGTCGCTGTTRGCTGCTCGCTTAGCGGAATGCCATCGAAGATGCCACGCCAGGATAGTGTACACCGGTAACAACAACATCGGCAAGCATTAGAAGGCTAAAAAGAACTCATTGTAACGGTCATGTCGAGTGTCATTGGTGACCAGTACGATTTCCCAACACTGCTAGTGTCAGCGCCAAAGCCACATTTATGGACTGTACAATGCCGGTGCAATGCCATAATTTTGTTACACATTCCTTTATAACAGTGTGGTGGAAAATCGCTTGTCACGAAAATTGAATAGCTCTCTGTCAAGGTGTGACAATAATTGCGTTGAAGCGGCTGGCTGGGGCAATATTTTTTGAATTTGAAGGGATAAAAAGTTTTAGCGTGAAATTGAAATTCGAAATTTATGTTCGAACTTGGTTCTGTTTAATTAATGAGTGTCTATGTAAATGAATGTGTTAATGTTAGATAAGCGAATAACATTAAGGGAAAGTGACAAAAAATATTGAAATAATATCCATTAAATTACTGTTTTTTGTTGTTTGTATTTAATATTTATTTATACATATGTGTATGCCATTGATATTCATATATTAGTCAAAATATATATTATTTCTTTTAAAAAATTTTTTTTAATGAAGCGCTCTGTTTGCACTCTTTATGCACAATTAGTGTGAATATTTGACAGTTGTTTGTTTACGACGCGAAAAGTTTATTTGGAGATTTTCAAATAAAACATGAGCTTTTGGCTACGAATTTATTTATTGAAAGTGTTTCAGAAGATCGTGTAGTCATTTACCTCTGGTTATTACTATAATATCGACAAAGTTAAGGGAAGAGTGCTTGAAAAAACATCTCCTATGATATTCTACTCAACATTTTGGTCATTTAAAGTGAAAACTACTGTCTTCCTCCAAAAAAATCCATTTTGTGGGTGAAAAACACCCTTAATGTAATAAAAACAAAAATTTAAACAAGTAAGAAAGGCTAAATTCGCTTCCAACCGAACAATTTAGACTTATTTTATGCAAACATCAAATCCAGGGCAATACCTTACGATTTAGCGATAAGCAATTTTATATATACATAAATACATACATACCGACATAAGATTTGTTACAAAAATCATTTTGTCATTATACATACAAAATCAGTCGGATGCTCAAAAATCCAGGTAATGGTTATATGAGGCTGGGTCAAGTTTTCGCTCAAATATTCGCCGACATTTCCAGTATAAAGTCATCAGGCAAACAAACAGGCAGGGTTTTGCAAAATATTAGAATTTTTTTTAACAAATAATTATATTTTGCTTTGCTATGTATTCTATTGTTAAATACAGAACATATAAAACGTAAAATATGCAAATAACTTGTTTAAAATTTATATTTTTGTTCATAAAAAATTTAGTTCTAAGGCTTCCTATATGTGTGTGATTGCATTCCTTACTGAAACGAGAGTTAAACCATAAGTTTATTATATAAATATGTTTTAAACATGAAGTAAATAAAAGTCGTTGACTCTCAAAAAAATTGTCTAACTTAAGGTAACATGAACCTTAGTTTTGGAAGAGTGTAAGTTATAAGGGCCTCAAGCTTTGCGCTCTGAATATCATATAGATTCCTCAGAGAGATAAAAAGTCATCTTTAGTCTTTAGTTATAGTCCGAATTTTCTGTTTTTTTTTTTTGGTTCAGTTAGTTTAGTATCACTTCCGTCCTTCGGCAACCTCAGCATTCCTAGGATCTCTTGGACTAAGCTTTATCGAGATTACCACTTTTAATTAAGTTAAGATTTGAACGGTTATGTATTTTATTTAAATATTATCAAGTTTTATACTGCTCCCCTTAACATGAAGCTAAACAACTTATTTGAATGCCAAATCGGTAGACTGTCTAATCCTCCATTACTTGTATTAGGTTGTCAAAAAAGAAATGAGCTTTCCAAAAAGGTGACCCGATGCGAAAATACCGCAAGACTTTTTTGACAACCTAATATACCTTTTTGGAAAGCTCATTTAACGCGCTAACACGTGTCTGATTGATTGTCGTTCTTTTAAGTCCTTCGTGAGTTATAGCGTCGCAAACGTGGAGCAAAATAAAGAGAAAATACGGCACATTTTACAGTACTACTACGATAAAGGCAAAAATGCATCTCAAGCCGCCAATAAAATTTGTGCAGTTTATGGACCCGGTACAGTTTCCATTTCCACCGCACAACGATGGTTTCAACGTTTTCATTCTAGTGTAGAGGTGGTCGAAGATGCACCACGCTCCGGAAGGCCTGTCGTCGAAAATTGCGATAAAATCGCTGAATTGGTCGAAAGAGACCGGCATAGTAACAGCCGTAGCATCGGTTAAGAGCTGGGCATGAGTCATCAAAAAAAAAATTGTATGAACAATTGAAAATTCAATAAAAATACCGCAAGAAATACTGCAAGACTTTTTTGACAACCTAATATAAGCTTTGACTGTGGCCTTGTAGTCGTTGTATGCTGCAACGGAAATTCTCAACATGTATTCACCCATTGGCACAGGAAGTAACTGCATTTGTTCTGGTTTTAATACCATATCCGTGACAATAATGTCATTCTGAAGTGTATAGTGTTGCTATAAACTTTTGCATAACTTTAATGTCACGCCACTTACGTCAAATGGGCAAGTGTGATTAATATTTGAATAGGCTTCCACGGTATCCATTAACAATTTGCCGAATGGTATGCGCTTTTTATTTTTTAGAAACTGACAAAAATCCGTTGTTATGTTAAACATGAAAGCACGATAGCCGTTCGCCTTTTTATAAACATCCAAATTAACGCTGACATCATTCACTGGCACTTGGAAAAGTCGCACATGCAAGGAAAGCGCGATCGCATTGCGGGACAAAGTCTTAAGCTTGCACTGTCGGAAATCGGCGAAGGGTTTGTCGTAGGCAACACACCTCAAATTTATAAATTTTATATAGACAAAAATCTCAGGTTGAATGCAAATACTAAAGGCTAAAATGCATTTAAAAATTTTTGTTTTCAAAACCATTTTGACTGCAACGAATACAATTCGTTTTCACTTCGCAAGTGAATAATATTATCTGCTGGGCTGGAATTTATAATATTTTTTTAATCGGAGATCGCTATCTCATTTAATATCACTAACATAATTATTCAGTTCCTGAAATTTTGATACAAACCTTTATGTAATAAAAATGAGGGCTGCGTTATGTTCTTAGTGGAAAATTAAACTCGAGCAATTTATTCGGGCGCTTGGAAGTTGAGTTGGCTTAAAAATATTTGGACTTTGTTGAAATTGAGACAGATCATTGAGACTATCCTTGTCTTCGAATAGTAAACTTTACAAAAAATATCTCTAAGTTTGTTTGCATTTTATCCATACGTCCTCAAGCTTTTGCGCTCAAACAGTAAATGATGAATGGGTATAAATTTTAATTTTAATTTTTTAATTCCGATGTTGAGATTGTTGTCCAATGGTGAATCGAACCAATTATACCGTCTGCACTTCAAAACTGGTTCCAAACAGGCCAGCGAATGCGAAATATGTTTCTCTTCTGTCTTCAATTGAAAAATATTTCTTTATGTGGCTAAAAGCATTTTAGTAATCTATATACATATGTGGAGCGTTCGTGCGGGCACGTCCTTCTACGACGAGTTTCCAAAAAGAAAAAGGAACGATCTTCCTATTTTATTTGACATAAAGGTTTGACATAAAAGGAAAATAAAATCATATATAGCGAAATGTCAAAGTAGCAGGTAGAGTTGCCATGCTTGATACAATTATAATTAACTCCGAAATAGTGGCGGTGCTGCCACAGTACTCCCCTCCTAGTTGGGATCTGCGGCGGTGTAAGCAGGTTTCAAACGGTCGATAGAAATGTTGACTGCTTYATCGTTAATGTCGACGGTGAAGTATTTTTGATAGCGATGAATAACCTTGTAAGGTCCTTTGTAAGGAGTTGGTAATGATGGTCGTACCGACAAGTTGCGGATGAAAACCTGGTCGCACGTTTTTAAATCTGTGTGCACAAAAGATTTCTGAGTGGTGTGCCAAGACGTGTTGACCGGACGTAGGTCGCGCATTATTTGTCGCAACTGAGCAACAACTTCAGTCTCATTATTTAGTGCAGGAGAGTCGATGAAGAATTCGGATGGCAAGCGTAGCGTCGTCCCAAAAACTAGCTCGGCCGGTGATGCTCCAATATCTGATTTGAATGAACAGCGAAGTCCCAAAAGAATTATTGGTAGGAAATTTGTCCAATGTTCCTTGTCATGACAAAGTAAGGCTGACTTGAGAGTACTATGCCAACGTTCGATGATCCCGTTGCTGTGTGGATGGTAAGGCGTAGTTCGAAGGTGTTTAACAAGCATGCAAATTGGCGCCCTAGGTCTGACGTTATGTCGGTGGGGATTCCAAACCTCGATATCCAGCCGCTAATTAATGCTTTAGCTACTGTTGGTGCGGTGCTGTCTGGAATCGGAAAAGCATCTGGCCACCGGGTGAAACGGTCGATCACTGTTAAACAGTAGCGATTACCCTCGGACAGCGGGAACGGTCCCACGATGTCAATGTGTAAATGAGCGAAGCGTTCGCTCACGCATGTTCGGCGTTGCAGAGGAGTGACGTTGTGCCTGGTGACCTTATTACGTTGACAGGGTAGGCAATGTTTTGCAAAATTATGACTGTCGCGATGGATTCCRGGCCAGATGAAACGTTCGCTCATCATCTTTGATGTTGCTGATGTAGCGCTGCACCGGCTGCATAGTCGGATGCGTCAATCCACAATGAAAGCTGCGCGTTGGGAGTGGGATGTGCTAGCAGTGTACATTTAGCTAGGTCCTCCTTACARGCTTCGWAATGTTTTATATTTTCTTTGGTCCATATGAGAGGTGAGTGATCATTGCGCTTGTTACCCGGAGTCATGTTGAATAATGGTGCTTGATGTAGAAGAGGATTTTTCAAAAAAGGTCTATAAAAATTTACCATGGCGAGGAAACGTTTTAGSTCTTTCGCAGTGGTTGGAAGTTTAAGATCTGTGATAGTCTTGACACGATTTGGTAATGGTTGTATGCCGTCTTGGGTGATAAGATGCCCAAGGAATTCGAGTTCCGGTACTCCGAGTATCGACTTTGCGATGTTTATTGTCAAATTGTGATCTCGCAATCGTTGAAATACGTTTTCAAGGT